CTTACTATTCTTAAAGACTCTGGCTTTTTCGGCCTTTAGTCTTTCGACCTGTCGAACCCTATCGGCTAACTGAGCCATATCCCTCAAATACTGAGTGTCTAGTTTCTTTCGAATAGAATAATCCAAGCCCCCAGCGGCCATTTCGACTAACTCATGTTCAGGCACTACTGTGTAACATCTGGATTTCAACAGCCTAAATCTATTCAAATAATCATCTATGGGTTCGGTGAACTTTCTCTTAACACTGGCCAATTCCTTCAAACTTATTTTCGATTGTCCCATGTAAAATTGTTCATGGAATAATCTCTCTAAAAGAGTCCAAGTGTCAATAGACCCAGGAGGCAACGTGGTAAACCAAGTGAAGGCGTTTTTTGTCAAGGAACTTGGGAAGTATTTGATCCTGAGATCTTCATTATTGGCTATATCTCCCGCTTCGGTTAGATATCTCGCTATGTGTTCGACTGTTGACTCATTGGTATCCCCAGCGAACTTTGTAAATTTAGGGACTTTATATCCCCTTGGTAAATCAGTATGCATTATACAATCCAGTATAGGAGAAGCGTAATTTGGCCTCCTCATTCCCGTGTTGAGGCCATTCTGGGCCATGATCCTCTCTATCATGGTGGTTAGGTTATTTTCTGCCAAGATGTTATCGTTTCGAATCCTATGAACGACGACATCGGCATCTTGATTTCGACCAACCAAAACAACTCCCCTAGGTTGTTCTTCTCGAAATTCTGGGGCTTCTGGCCTTTCGATCCTTGCCCCTGGTTCCATAACTTCCCTTTGTGGACCCGGGATTATTGGGGCTTCTAACCTTGGTGCTCTGGCCCCTAAGTTAACTTCTTCTCTGGGTGGTCTATGAATTGGGTCGTTAGCAATTTGTTCTATAACAGGCATGTTTGTTCGAAATCCCGCCTAGTTCTGCCTACGCCTTTCTGTGGGGGCAAAGAAATCTGCTATTCGACTCATATTGTCAGCGTTTTCCCTGTTCGTCACAGTCACATTCTGAACTATTGGGGCAAATATTTCCTGCATGGTTTGCGCTAACACCCCTATCATATTGTGGTTGCTGTCATCCATCAATTGCCTAAAAGCCAACTACTTATCTGTGGTTAGGATAGGCAACGTGCTATAACCCACTGACCCTTGGTTATTTGTCATAAACTGATTAGCCCCAGACCCAGATTCTAGTTGTGGAGATGAATTCGATGTGGAATTGTGTAAACCTGCCATAAAAGATGTTGGCATTCCGTAAGAAGAACTTCTAATTCTATTCCCATCGAAACCGGGTGGTCTAGTTAATGGTGTGGCGAAATGGGATTGTGTCCCTGATGGTGGAACGAATTCCCCAGGGTAGCCCATAGTTCCAGTATTTCCTAAGATCGAACTATTAGTTGATATGCCACTTACTCCATTGGTGGCTATGTTACTGGTTGAAGATGCAACAGACTGTGCATTCGAAGGGATTACATTAGATGTTTCGCTCGAAATGGACGCGTTAGTGCCTGTTGCATGTGGGCCACCTTGGTCTCCTTGTTGATTGTCTGAATTAGACATTTTGTCCAAACGTTTTCTTCTGGATAAAGGTTGGTTGCTGTTGGTTATCTTACCACTTCTCAGGTTCATAAAACAGCAAACTTCTTAGGTTCCTACGTTTTTGTAATGGCTACGTCTCGACAATCCTTAATTCTGATATCCAATTATTGGTCCCACTAGGTGTGCCAATTTGTTTCCAGTGATTTCTGGTAAACAACCGCTAGTCTTCCAAACTATTGAATAATCTTTCTTACTGTTATTCAATCTCTCTGGTAACTCACAGGATCGACTAGATTGATCCTAGGACTCCTTGGATACTAAGGTTACTCTCACAATCGAACAATTATTCATGGTTGATATTGTATAAGTGTTTGGCTTACTTCGATCTCTCTCTACGAGTCTAAAAATGTAGTCAAAATGTATATGAAAACTAAGTTATACGAATAAATGCTAATTGTAATGCTGATTGTAGAGACATATAAAACTGCATGAAAAATGAAGTAAATGGTTTTAACTTACAAAACGTTTAACATAAAAAGGTTTCTGGAATGTAGAAGTTTAAAATATGCAAAAAGCGTTTAATGCAAGAAATCTGTAAATGATTTTAAGTAAAAGTATGCGCTCGAAGGACAATACTTGAAGGTAAAGGTATGGAAAATGTGACAGTTCTCTGAAATATAAAGTGCTCGAAATATAAAGAAAACAGTAAAAAGTAAAACTTTGAGGAAAAGACTTCGAAGTGAAAAGACTGTAAATAAGAAAACTTGTAAATGTTGCCTGACAAAAAGAATAGAGGAAAGTACTGGAAATGGTAAAAGGTTTTCATTAAGTTAGAAATACATGGTGCTATCATACATACATTTCTCTTGCATTCGTTTCCCTTGCCATGTGGTAGTTTGAATGTTATTGAGTATTTTGTATAACAGATATGACACACCGAAATCCTAATACTAAGACTTCTATTTATACTAATTCGACCCTAACGGTCTCGCTACAGGATTATGCCACGTTTCGAACATGCAAGACAATGCTTCTTTCATCTTTCCACGTGTCCCCAAATGCTCCAACACATAACTTTCAAACTTTGAAAGTCCCGCTTCCATTTGAATTTTAAATGCTTTTGGTGTCTCTCTATTTCGAGCATTCTTCCCAAACACAGCCTCGCTGTTGTTCTGAGACTCCTTTAACTATGTTCCCATAATTGTCGTTCGAAGCTTCACGCTTTGACACCCTTATTCGAAACACTGCTTCTGCAACTTCGAAATATGGCGTTTAATTCCATTTCAATCAGAACGTTTATCTCTTTTGGCTTCTAAATAATATTATCGAAATCTTCAGCCAACACCAACACAACAGTTTCCTATTTCCAATGAAATCATATTAAAAATATCACTTGATAATTTATCGAACATGTGGCGCGCAATCAATTTTTTAGAATTTTCTTTGAGCTTTGTTGATATGCAAAGGCACTTACAATCAAAGTGATTATAACTTAATCAACAAGGAAATTTAAACTTTAATAATCAAAGAGAAATTCTATACAAATCAATCGATCAAACAACACATTCAACAAATTACATATAGAGAGTAAATGAAAGTAAGAGTTAGAACATTGTAATTTTTCTTTGAGTTAAACAAGCTAAACAATTTGTCAAACATTTGGTGTGCAATCAAAGTTTTAAAATTTTCCTTTGTGTTGTGTTGATATGAAAAAGTACTTATAATCAAAAGTGATTATAAGCAACTCAATACGCAATTCAAAATAAAAACAATTTCAGAAAATTCCTACGTGTCGATAAATTACTCAATGTTATTTGACAAATCGATGTATACAAATTAAAGCAATAAAATAAAAGAGACACAAGGATTTGTCTACACAATTTCCCACTTTCGTCCTCGCATGTGGGTAAGTCTGCGCCTAATTTCAATGGAATTAGGATAACTGTTACTTTGCAAAAGTATAGTTACAAGAGAAGTGTTCAAGCGAAATACTACAAACCATAACCGTTTGATATTGATGCAACCCCTTCTCTTCTTTTAATCTTCAACAAGATCAAGATTGATAGATGCAACCTATCTGTTGCTTAAGCTACTTCCTTGCAAAGATTTCAAACACTCCAAGGGATTTCACTCGAGTAAATCCGATTGCGCTCTATCAACACAAGATATTCAGTTCTATCTTCCAATAATTGCTACTCCTTGCAAATATTTCAAAGACTCCAATGTTGTACGCATGGACGATTCCTTCTCGAACGGTCCCAAATCAACCAATGATCTTAGAGGTCAAACCTGTGGTTTTTCCTGGATGAAAACCTCTACAAAACTCTATCCAATACACAATTGGACACTATTAATCCTCGTCTAGACGGCACCCAATTGGAACATCATTACCATGTAATGTCAGTGTGTATGCATAAATTGGAGGAAGAATATGAAGAGAGAAATAAGCTAATTTTATTGTTTTCAACAAGTTGGAATGATGCATGAATGATATATTTATAGTTTGACTCTTTTTAGTTAAAAGAGGATAGTTTTGGTATGAAAAAATGATCCACAAAACAGTATGTGTCGACCTGAAAAGGTTATATGTCGACATATACAAAACAACGGCTAAAAGCTTTAATAATGCAGTACATGTGTCGACCTGAAAATTGTATATGTCAATACATGTGCCTGTGTTTTAAAGCAGAAATACTGAAAGATTTAATATTGCAGTACATGTGTCAACCTGAAAATCGTATGCGTCGACACATGCTGAAGCTTTTAAGAAAATGAAGAAATGCAGAATTTATGTGTCGACTCATACAAATTTCAGGTTGACACATAAGTGTTAATTTTGTGAAAACATTAATTTTTCATGATTGAGACCAATTTTAAAGTTGTTTTAACTTATTCCTAAGACCTCTAATGCAAGGGATTGCCACAAGACTTAAGGATATCGTCCAGAATACTAAAATGTTAGCTTTCCGAGTTTTCCAAATTTTGACATCATGTAAAACATCTAATAGTGAAGTTGCACTCACAAATATCTCTACAAGGTTTTTTTTGTCTTTGAGCAATACCTAAGGGATAAGGTTTTGGTTGTTATAATGAAAGGGGGCATCAATAAAAAGAAGAAATCAGAGGAAGCTTATGAAAGTTTCAGAAAAGACTGAACGAAACCCATTTCCTCATTCACGAAATCGCATCACACCGTCCCATTTTACCATCTGCAACTCACAAACTGTCGCCTTTCAATAACCTCTTATAAACCCACATCACCTATTAATACTCCCACCGTCAAGTTCCACAAAGTACCCATGCAGAACCACTTCTTTCATCTCCGTGATACCTTCTCCTTACACCCTCATAATTTCCGCTGCCATTCTCACACCAGCCACCTTCTAATTGCTCTCTGAAACACCATATCACAGACCCACATATCTCTCTACTCCAGCTTCATAACAACCTTCCTCCTCTCCATGCAAACATCATCTTCAATCTCTTCTTCGCCATCTACCAACTTCTGTATAAACAACAACTTTATTCTCACTTTCAGTTTCCACAAACATACCTCCGCCTCCGCCTATTTCCGTCGACAACCAAACTTTCGATTCACCATCATAGAACTGCCCTTGGCCTCCATTTTCTCTCCTTTGATTAACCTCTTCCAACCGACAACTTCCATTACAACACTACCCAAACTACAATTCGCTGACCTCCTTATGCATATCGCCTCCAGTCAGTGCACCCTTCAGCAATATACTGCCATCTAGGTCAAGCCTCCCTCACGCTTTTTGTACAACCATCTCACAGACTCCGCTTCCACACTATCCATCACCTTCATCAATTTCTCACCAACAAACCTTCTAGTTTAATTGCTCAACACTCCTATCGTCAAGCCTTCGCGTTCAATTTCTCTCATCCATTCTGCTACTCCTCTGCTCACACACTTCATAATAGCCCCACACGGTTCAGTACTTTCTTCTCTAGTTTTTTTTCTTTTGTAGTTTGAAATGGTTAAAGACTTGTATGAATTGAATTATGAGAGGGATGATGTTGTGCTGTTATTCAATTTTGATTAATATGTTTTAAGATTGTTTTGTTTTTGATTGAATTAGTTTTGTTTATAATTATTGAATTTGTGATGTTAGTTTTAGTTTGCTAATTTGAATGATAACATGATGTTGGTTATTGTTTGTAATTGGAACCTTGATATTGAAATTAAAACTTTAGGGATATGATGATGAGCATGTTGTTTGTTAAATTGAAGTTTGAAGTTTGATTGTGTGGTTTAATTTGAATGATGAGTTTTGATTACATTACCATGCTACTTGAGTTTCTAATGGTGGATTATCATGAGTTTTAATGTTAGACACTAATCTTGTTTGAATTAATTTGAGATGTCGTGTTATTTGAGTTGTGTTCAAGAGATGTTGATGGTTTCACCTTGATTCAAGTGTGTCAATTTGGAATGAGCTAAACTTGGTTGTGGTATTTATTTATTCTCCTTTTGTTTCAAAACATGTTTGAATTGGAATTTTGGGACATAATTGTTTACGTATAGTTGCTGCCCGGTTTTTCAACTTAATCGATTATGGCTTAATTCTAAACTTGGTTCATGATTTGAAGTCAATTTTAATTGCAACATAAGTGTATGTTATTTATTTTCGGTTTCTAATGAATTGAAATGTGTCTTGAGTTTGTTTTGAGACTTTACGTTCATGAAGTTTTTGGTTGCACTTCATATCTTTATTACTTTCTTGTTAATTCAAGTTGATTTCAATTGCCAATTCGATTCGCGTTCTTACTTGTTTATGTATGTTTATTGATTTTTAATTGTGAAATTTGAATTACTAATACATGTAAATAATGTAAGTTTTCATTCATTTCATTTTAATCCCTCTTATACTACTAACAAGTTTGTTATTGTGAAGGCTTTTAAGGATGGTTCAATCGCCATTTCCTCTTTGCACATCTATACTTTGACATTTACATTTTTATTGTATTTATTTTACTACTTTGATTTAATATTTAGTAATTTAAATATATAATTATATATAGCACTTTTGATTTTATATTTTATTCGATTCACTTGAAAATAAATTCAAGTTGTGTTTATATTCTTTTCACTGCGTTGCGATTTTGAATTTTAATTCAAGTTAACTTTTGAAAATCGTACGGATGCATATAGTTTCGCCCGACCTCTTATAGTTGATTCTTACATGAATTTATTCTAAAAATACTTAACAAAGTGAAAATACTTAGTAGCTTTCGATTTATTTCATTTCGGTCTCGTAGTTTACAATTGAGATTTATTTAAGATTTCGAGTAGTTTCCATGTGCTGTTGGATTTGTCTATGTATTTCATGTGATGCAGGGATTCTTATCTGATATCTGGGCCTTATCCGCTACCTTGAGCTTTATCCGATACCGCAAGCTTTATCCAATACCGCAGGCTTTATCCAATACCTTGAGCCTTGTCTGATACCTTGCGCCTATCTAATCCCTCGGGTTTATCTATGCTTTCTCCATCTGTGATTTATTTTCATGTGTTGCGATCCTCGCTTGTGATTTATTATCACCTGATGCACTTTATCCGTTTCTTTGAGTATTATCTGACGCGTTGGGTTTCTTTGATGCTATCTGTCTGTGATTTATTTTCACCTGAGGTTTGTTATACTCTTGGCTTATTTATCTTCTTGTGGCTTTAAATCCAAAGGGATGAGAACCCTATATTGATTTCTTTATATCAAGTATGAGCTTTTGTTTGGTCAGATTTTCCTTACCTCATCTTTTACTTTCTTGTACATAGGATAGTCTCTTCATCTCCTTGCCCATTCTTCAATTTTCAAAAACATCTTTCTTTTTCAAAACTTCTTTCTTTTCAAACTCGAACTGCTTTCATAATAAACCTCGACTTTGTCGAGTGACTTTCTTTTCAAACTTCTTTTTCTTAATAAAACTCAAAACACTTAAAAATAAAGATGTGAATCATATGCAGTTGAGTCTTATGGGGACTAGTGAGGTGGTGCATTCTAGAACCTTGTTATTTCTTCATTTCCGGACTTTATTACGATTCAATTTGCAAATCCTTTTTTCAGTTAACAAAAATATTTTAACTCATTCAAACCTTTTATGAGCTCGAGAACCTTTTCCCTTTAAGACCTTTTCCAAGACTAGACATGATTCATTTATAGTCGAGATGTCACTTTCCTATCCCTGTGGTTGTAAAGATGTCGACTTTTCGACTTGAGTATTAGAGGTGTTCTCAAACCCTCACTCTTGTTGATGCACTGTCCCTCTTTCGTACACCTTGTGGATGATTAGTTTAGATTTCTCTCCTAAAAATGATGACTTGTATCTTCATTTAAAAACAACCAACAGATAAGTCTTTTATAGAAGAACTACGAGTGCCCTGATCCTTTATTACATGAAGGGGGTACATAGGCACAAAGGTTCGCAACCGCGACAGACACAATATTAAAAAACATTTCTTTTGTTTATAAATATTCACTCATTCATTCCCTTTAGCAATTTTAATCTTTAAATAACACACTATCTGATTAAAACAAACAAAGTGGATCTTGCGGAGTATTGTAGATGCTTAGGGTGCTAATACCTTCCCATTTCATAACTGATGAAACAACCGGCTGAAAATCATCAAAACAATGAAGTCGTCATCGAACGTCTTTTATCCCACATGTAGGGAAAGGTAAACATCGATAAAACCTGATGAGGGAGAAGTCACGGTCTTGCGACCGAGAGATCGGGTAAGGGAGTCTGTTACGCGAGGGGAAGGTATTAGCACCCCACACGCCCGTAGTACTCTACGGTATCCACTCTTGTTATCTATCTTATGGGTGTGTTTAATCTATGCTTACTGTCTACTATTGCTAAGGGGAAATGCATGCAAAATAAAGGGGAAAAGAATGTAGGGAAAATAAAATTGTGCTCGCTTGGGCCCTACCCCAATGCCTACGTATCCTTTTTGAGGAATCAGAGCTACCGTAGTTCGGCTCACATGTTTTGTTTGTTTTGTGTTTTTTATGGACGAAGTTAATTCCGCCTTCTGCCGCAGCTCGACCTTTGGAGACTTATGCGTTGGCACAGAAGTAAATTAATCGTGTCCTTATCTGAAAGGGTTTTTTTGATTTATATTTTGTTGTAGATGTTTTTTGTGGACGAAGTTAATCCCGCCTTCTGCCGCAGCTCGACCTTTGGAGACTTATGCGTTAGCACAGAAGTAAATTAATCGTGTCCTTACCTGAAAAGGTTTTTTTGATTTATATTTTGTTGTAGATGTTTTTTGTGGACGAAGTTAATCCCGCCTTCTGCCGCAACTCGACCTTTGGAGACTTATGCGTTAGCACAGAAGTAAATTATTCGTGTCCTTACCTGAAAAGGGTTTTAAAGAAAAGTGCTCGAGCGCACAAAATATTTGAGTTTGTTTTGTATTTTTGTTGTAGATGATGACTGATTGACCTCAAGAGAGAGATATTAGCCATTTTTCTACTTAGCTATGAAAGGAGTTTTTGAGAATTGAACCACACCTATGCTTGAGATGAAGAACAATAAGATCGCGAAGAGACCCGCTTATCATTTCCCGTACTAAGCAAAAGCATGATTCTCATCAATAGTTTTAAAGTATTTTGAATTTTGAAAGAAAAAGAAGTTTTTGTTTTAAGTGCGAATGCAAAAGGAGAAAGAAAAGTCAGAAGGAGACTAGCTTACTTCTAAACCTAATGTTATTATGTATTGTTAGACCTAAAGTTAGAATTAATGAGGGAATTCTACCTAATGTTAGCATGTTTGAATTGCGATAAAATACCGAAATGAAGGATAAAATAGGGTTGTGACGATACCGAACGGAGAAGGTCCGTTGCCTCTTCAAAATTGTGCAAGCGGTAAGAAAATTCTATCAAAGTTCCCTTGGGCAAGTGATTGAAGAATTAACCCCGAGTATTCCACACTGCCAGAGTTATGTCGACGCTACAAAAAGTCTCGACTAGAAAATGGCAATAAAATGATTATCGAATATGAAAAATAAAATAGAAAAAATTCTAATCGAAATTCTAAAAAGAAATTATATTCTAAAATATTCTATTATTTTGTATCATTTTATTATTGATTAAAAGAAAAATTAAACTAGAAGAAACTAGCTAAAATAAAAATTAGAAGAATCAAAGGGGTACAAGCTGAATTCAGGGTGGTGCAAGCCAAATCTAGGCGCTATGGCCCAACATGACATGAATCCAATAAGCATTTTTAACATTTTATTTATTATTTACTTAGTTATTATTATTATTAATTTGAAATAAAAATATGAAATAATAAAACAGTTAAACTAAATGAAAAAAAAGTATATGAAAATTGAAAAGGGAATAGGGTTTTTTGAGAACTATGCTTTGTCCTCTCCTTCACGAACGGAACAGCGGCGGCGCCTCCGCCTTCCTTGCATTTTCTTCTTCATCCATCAACGGTGCTCCGATGCTGGCTTCCGATTCCATCCCCGCCTTCATCATTCTGATCGCCGTATTCTCTTCGCGCTTCCGTCGGTCTCCGCTTCTTCATCCGATCAACGGTTCCATCTCCGCCGTCTCCATGTTATCATCTCCTTCATCAAGCTCTGTTCACGGTTTCTCGCTCGTGTAATCTTCATCTCAATGAATCGCAACCTACCGGAGACAAGTCTGAAGCTTCTCCAATCACAACTGCGACAACAAAAAAAATCCGGAGGTTTGAGTCCGTGTTTCGATCTCTATTTCTTTTATTT